AAGAGCAAAGGGTATTTCCCAGAGGAAGGAGTGGTCATGTGCATCAACGCTGAGACTTCAAATAAAATCAAAACTTTAAAACGTCCACTGGATTTACTGTCACGGATGTCACGGAAGACAAGAGCAAAAGCCTTGGCAAAGGCACGCTGGGCAGGAATGGGCAAATGGGAGAGAAGGTAGTGGCAATGCAGATTGTCAACAATCCTTTGTCTTTGGAAGAGAGGAGAGAAGGGGTAAAAGGCACAGAAAACCCTAGAAAGGCTTGTTTCTAAGATGAGACTAAAACCTGTTTATGTGCAGATGGGAAGATGCAGAACAGCTGGAGACAGTAGGACAAGATTTCTGAGAATGTGGAAATGATCTGAAAACAGGTGGAGGGATTGGCCTCAGATTGGAGGAGGGACACTGCCTCCACTGTAAGGAGATAAGCAGGAAATGATGAGTACAGATGCAAGAAGTTCCCATCTGATGGACTCTGTTTTTTCAGGGAAGTAGGAGGCACTGAGGGTGAAATATCCAATTAGGGGAGAAAGTTAGAGACTAACTGAGAGAAAGGGAAGGTGACGAGTCAGTGTTGAAGACCCAACTGAGGCTGATGACTGAGTGTGCAGCCTGCCTAGATGCGTGCTTGAAATGTTTTTTCTAGTAGGCTTCAGCTACCCGATGCAAGAGCAGAGAAGGGTGGTATTTCTATAATTCGGGACTGGTTTTCACTCAGATGAGTGCGACCAAAAGAAAGAGGAGCCAGGAGTTGAAAGTGTTAGCCAGAGAGACACTGTTATTATGAAGCTCTGCTGGACACAGAGGGGAATAAAAGAGGCAGGGAATGGATGGATGGAGAGAGTGATTTAGAACATGGAACCTTTCCTGATAACAAGGCCCAGCATAAAGCCCTGGAGTGGGGGGCAGAGGTGAGTAGGAACAAAGGACAGTATAGATGAGGAAGGCAAAGAGCTGAAAAAGCAGAGGGTTAGTAGTTAGGTGGATGCTAACACTCCCATGAATGGTGACAGGTGGTGGGACAGGTAGAAGGACAGTAAGCCTGGTGTTAAATCTTTAAAAGTGGGGTAAAATGAGGTCTGTGGAAGATAGTGCCAATGTGTTTGTAGGGCAGAGCCTCCAATGGTCTGGGAGTTTTTGAGAGAAGGAGAAGTGGTCTGAGAAGCAAGAAGGACACTAACCGCACTTCCTAACACTGGGATAAACAGGCAAGAAAGATAACAAACAGCCTCATCAAAGAAGCTGGGGAAAAGCAGTGTTCTAGAACAGAGCCAGGATTCATGGTGATGGTGGCTCTCATCCATCCCTGGCTACACACTAGAACCACCCAGAAAGCTTTAAAAGATATCCATGCCCACGTCCCCCCACCCCAGACCAATAAATCAGAATCTCTGGAGCCTGGGGATTTATGCCATTCATAAGCTCCCCCGTAATTCTAATGTACAAATGGATTTTAAAACCACTGATTTAAGGCAAGCAGGTGAACAGAACTTTGGAGAAGGGACTCCAAAGATAGACACAGAGAGGTTCCTTGATCATGAGTGGTAATGGCCTGATTGTGCAAACTGCACTCCTCAAGTGTGCTCCAGGAACTCATACCCACAAGGACTTGAGCGGTGAACACCAGCAGACACTTCTTCCAAGTTCACTACTCCCTTTTGTAGTAAAGCAGAGATTGTGATCAAACAGCTAGATGTGGTCTTTAAGAGCAGCCTGCGTGGACTTCTCTGGTGGCGCAGTGGTTGCGACTCCGCCTGCCGATGCAGGGAACGCGGGTTCGTGTCCCGGTCCGGGAAGATCTCACATGCCGCGGAGCGGCTGCGCCCGTGAGCCATGGCCACTGAGCCTGCGCGTCCGGAGCCTGTGCTCCGCAACGGGAGAGGCCCGCGTACCGCAAAGAAAAAATCCAAAGGTTCCAAAGGTTCCTGGGTGAGTTTACCTTTCCAGTTCCTCTTCTCCTTCATCACACTTTTTCCACGTGCTGTGGGGGACAGCGGTGTGGGCTTGTTGAAGAGGAGCTGTTACGGGCTAGCTCCCAGCACTGACACAAAGCAAGCCATCTTTTTCCTCTGCCTCTGTCTGACCCCTGTAAATGGTGGTGGGAGGATCAACACGGGGGATGACAAAGATGACAATGATGCTAGTTAACCTTTACAGTTGCTAGTTAACCTTTATCCCTAGACGCATGGTTTACACTCACCATCTCATTTAATCCACACCATCCCTGGGAAGACAGCAGTAGCTGAATCCTCATTTACAAGTGAGTCCACTGCTCCAGAGACATAAGGGACCGCCCCAAGGTCACCAGCTAGTAAGCCACCCTAACAACAGCTGGCTTCCAGAGACTAGGGCGTTGGTCACTCCACTTCATGCCACTTAACTACGAAACAGTCCAAGTTTCCTTCTAGTTCTAACACTTGGTGATTCTTTAACTCCCATTGGCTTTGAAAGGACAGGGTGGATTGCAGACTTCAAAGGCTTTGAAAGGGCAGTTTTACTGAAAACTTAAGGCAGGCTTCTGGGAGTGAGTCTGCAGCAGCGCACAGAAGGGGAAATGACATCTGAGGTTTCAGGGGGCAGCCTTCCCACAGGTGCTCCCCCGAGGGCTTGGGAGCGACACAACAGTTGGCTTTTCTGCCAGCTTCAGAAGCATCTCTCCCGCGGCAGGTGGATATGTAATCTCACCTGGTCAAGATGATGGGTGCCTAATTGGATGGTGAGACTTCAGGATTTAGTCATTGCCAGGAAGATTCTGAATGATAATTCTCAGCCGTGCGAAAATTAACTCAAAGTCTTTTCTTCTTGTATTCTCTAATTTTAAACTAGGTAAATTTAATCTCCTGCTTCTTGGCTCAGCGTTACTGCAAATTAAACATGCAAGTATTAATAATGAAAATAATTTCCCTTTAAAAACATATCCTGAAACTCGATGTGGGGCATTTCCAATACATCCATGAAACAAACAAAACAGTTTGTCTGTTTCTCCAAGGGAAGACGCTAAACCCGGAATTTAGTTCAGCCTGTGAAACAATTCGTTTGCTCTGACTAATTCTTCCAATTAAAGAACTTTTCCCAGACACAATTAGCATGTAAATCAGCGGCAGAGAAGGAAGAAGGGGCCTCGGCGACCCGGCCGGGATGGAGACACTGGGCGGAGAACCCCAGGGACAGCTTGGGCCCGACGTGCGGGCCGCGGGACCGCGCCGGGGACGCACGGACGAGCTCGGGACTCAACGCCGAAATTTGGGCGTTAAATAGCGCAGCCGAGGACTGACCGGTGGCGGCCGGCCAGGGCCCCTCCCCGGGTCCCGACCGGATTCGAAAGGGACTTCCGCGAGCCAGTCCCCACCCGGGCCGCGGGAGCGCGCAGCCAAGAGCGCCCCCCCCACGCCCCAGCCCCCTCTCGGAGCTGGCTCCGCGTGCCGCGGTGGCTGCGCGCGCACCTACGGCCGCAGCCCCCCAAACCCCGCCGCCGCGGATCTGTAGCTGCTTTTGCCTGCGAAAGGTGGGGATAGCGGCCCCTGCTGGCACCTTTGGCAGACAGCAGGGAGACCGACGTTTTCCCGCTTACCCTTCTCACCTTTTCTAAACGGTTTGTGGAAAATATATCTTATATATTACATACACTGTTGTCGCGTGTGCACTTACTTTATTCTTCGTGAGCCCTCATATGCAGATGTCTGTATGTAGTCTAGTTCCATGTAGGAACGGTAATTTAAAAAAAGGGGGGGTAGACTTATTAGTGGCCCTAGCCCCAATTAGGGAACAGGTACAGTTTCTACTGCATTTATATGAAGGCATTCGGCCTAAGGGCGACTGAGACCCTGATCTCCTTCCCAATGCTTTTCTCGGCCGACCCCATGACTAGTAAGTAATGATCGGAGAACTGCTTGGCCGCCCCGTGTTACTTTCTTTAAAGGCTGTGGCTACGACCTAAACCAAGTGAGAAGCCCACTCGGGGAGCAACGTGCTACCGTGCGCAGTCTGCGGGGCAAGCAGGCGGGGAGCGCGCAGCGGCCGGGGGAGGGGGGACATCGTGTGGCCTGCCCAGTGGACCCAAGCCTGTAACCGCAAGGCTATTTTGGCGACTGAACTTTCAAGCGGAGGAGGAAGGCTGTGCCTGCCATTCTTCTAATGGTAACAAAAGCGCCTTGGAAGAAGTTGCGATTCACTTATTCCATGAAGCTGTTGCATTCTCATTGGAACTGTATCTTATTTCTGAAGTTTACATAGTTATCTCTAAGAACAGTTTACACACTTTCTAACTTTAAAAGCAGATCTTCGTTAACAGCATCCTTTCCACTATAGTTTGCTTACTTAACATGCTTTATTAACGTGTTGTGTTGTACGTACGTTAACTAATAGCTGTGTTCGTATCTTCGAAGTGTATTTTTAAGCGCACCGGGTTCTATCCAATTCATCTGCGTGCGCAGAGCGTCCATCACTTCTGGAATCTACCTCTTGATACAGTAATCAGAATTAGAAAGGTTCGCCGTTCACTCACCCTCATCCTTTAAAACTTTTCCATTTAAGAAAATCGAGGAAATCCTTCCTTGTAACTCGCTCCTGCACTACGTCTATTTTTATTAATTTTTCTGATTTGTCAGAGCTCAGCAATGCTGTCCGGGATCCTTTTTTTTTTTTTTTTTTCTGCTAGAGCAAATGCGGGGCTGGGGGAGGCAAGGGCTGGCCTCCTGCCGGCATCGCCCCCGCGGGGACCTCGGCCGAGCGCGCGGCGGGGCCGGGAATAGTGGTGGAAGGAAGCTGCGCTGGCAAGTCGGTCCAAGGCTCCACCTGCGGCCAAACCGCGTAGGTTCTCCGTCTCTCCGCCTCGCTGGCTAGTGTTCGCACACGTAGACCGCAGCTCTCCTTTGGGTCGGAGAAGACGCCAGCCAAAGGAGGCGGGGTTGCAGGAGGAGAGTCCGCTCTGCGCAATCCAGTCCGGGACTTGGCTCCGCCCCGGAGCGGCGGCCTCTCGGGTGACAGAGGAGTAGTGAGCCGCACGGGGTGAGGCTGCAGCCAACTCCGCTCCCCACGTACTCGGCTGTCCAGGCGCTCCGGACGCAGCAGCGGCGCTTCTCCGCGGGGCCGACCGCCCGCGATGTCCGCTTAGGAGCGGCGGCAGCGGCCAGCATTGCCACACCCGCGGCGTAGCGCTCCCAGCCGTGGAGCGGGGCTAGAGGGCGAACCCCTGCGCCAGCCCCCACCCCGCCCCCCCCACCCTGAAATGACTTGTTAATCGGCGCAGACACCACCGAAGGGATTGCCGGAGTGGAATCCAAGTGGAATTTGGATTTTGAGAAGAGTTTCTTGAACATTTACTCCCTTCTTGTTGGTTTCTTTCTTTCTTTCTTCCTCTCCCCTTCTCCGCCTGTCACTGGAGATGAATACAGCGCGTTTGCATCCCAGAAAGTAGTCGCCGCGACTGTTACCCCAAAGAGGCAAGCACACATGTAGGAATGACAAAGGCTTGCGAAGGAGAGAGCGCAGCTCGCGGCCCGGAGAGATCCCCTCGATAATGGATTACTAAATGGGATACACGCTGTACCAGCCCGCTCCGAGCCCCGGCCGCCTGCCCGTCGATGCACCGAAAAGGTACGGCTGGGGCGCCCCGGCGCGCCCCACCTCCCGGGCGTCTCGGCTCCCTCCTGCGGGTCCCGGGGCCGCGGTCCGCACGCCCTGTCTCGGCTTTGTGGTGCTTGCGTTTTATTTTGGCTTGTGTCAGTCTCCCGAGCGTTGCCCGGCCCTGGGGGAGCAGTCGCGAGCCCTGCCCGCTGCTCCTCTCCACCCTGCGCCCCAGAGACCGCCGGGCTCAGTGCTGCGAGCTTCCCCACCCGCGCTGCGCACACGCCAGGCGCCGCCCGGGACACCAACCGCGCGGATAGCTCCCTGGCCCTGGGATGTGTATGCAGTACCCGGGGGCTCGTCCTCACTTTCGGGCCAGCAGGCAGCAGAGAAGCCCTGAAAGGGTGAGATTCTCGGAAGTGCCCGGTCCTGGTGCGAAGGCAGGGGAAGGGGTTCTGCCCTCCAGGGCTGGAGGAGGTTGGGTAGAAGAGCGCTGTTTTCGCTCGGCACGAGGTTTGGGTTCAGGGGTTCCGCAGATACGGTGGGGAAGCAAAGAGAATCTTTTGTTGTCGGTGCGGGGTCTGGGCTGGGCTCAGTGGAGTGCGGGGAAACTTGTAATGGCCCTGGCACTCGCGCACCCTACCGCTTGGTGACATCCCGGCTCCCTCGGACGCTGGCACCAGAGGTTCCGGGCTTTGTTTGCTCGAACGAGTGGCCTCCTCCCAGTGTGCCGCGGCGCCCCCGCCCTGGGTCCTGTTCCCCGCCGCAGCTCCCTCCTGGGCGGCGAAGACAGCATCCGTCGCGTCTGTGTCCCCCTCAAGCACAGAACCCGCCACGCCGGGACTGGCGCCCACTGTGCCGTCTTCCAGAATCTACGAGGTCCCTCTCTGGAAAGAAGGTGTCCCGGGAGGGGGAAGGGTGAGAAGACCAGGCAAGAGATGGCTCAGTGCTTGCTAACCAGACGAGAGCTCTGCCCGGGCCCCAGGTTCTGGATTGTCCGGACTACTTGCTGCGTCTAGAGCGCTGCTTCGCTGGCAGTGGGGCGCTCGGGAGCAAGCCCGACAGTGTCCACCCACTCCGCACGACCCTGCTGCGATGGCAAGTGTCTCTTCCCCCAGATGCTCCGCTTTTTTCTCAGCTCCCCACCGTGTTACACGGTGCAAAGCAGGATCCTGAGATTCGTTCCCTCCTCCCACGACCGTAACGGTACAGGGGGAGCCAGGGAACAGTCTGGATTTGTGGGTATGGGGGGGAGGGAAACAGGACTCCTCTTTCCCGCTCCCTCGCCGCCCCTCCGCCCAGCGCCGCTTCCTTTTTTTCCAGCGCGGGGTCACTCGACCAGGCGCTTCTGGAAAGTTTCTCTGAAGGCCAGGGGTGGGGGGCACTACAGAATTGGGGCTCAGCATGTGCAGACCGCGGGAAACGGAACCCCCAGGGAGGCGGGTGAACCGCCCAGGATACGTACGGCTAGGAGGTAGGAGCCGGCCTTTCGGAGAGTGGCACCCCGGCCGGTGGTCAGCTTGGTTGGGGTCGTGGCGCTGCACCTGCTGGCCCAGTCTCTCAAGCAATTGAGCAAGGGGTGGGCGTGGGGAGGGGCGAGAAGGGGAAGTTCAGCGCAGCACTCAGGAAGCTGGCGCGGCCACTGTGGACAGCGGCTGGCGCGCGGGTGCGTGTGGACACGGGCCCGGGCTCGCTGGCTCCAAGCTCAGCATCCCAGCCTCCTGCACCCCTCGCGCTGTTTTCCAGCCAGCGGGTGTTCAAGGAGGGGCAGAGCAGGGAATCAGGTGTGCGTGGAGCGGGGTAGGAATCGCTGTTTTCACGGCCAAGGCGAGCATTTCCAGGGGGCGCCTCCTGCCTGTACTGCAGGGGGCAGCCCCGCTACCAATCCGCATCGGTCCTTGGGAGAAAGGCGTCTGCTTTGGGAATGTGGTGGCCAGGGACGGCCACAGTGGGATCACTCTCTGCCTAGGCTGGATGAAAATCAAGTTGCAATTGAATGTGATTCATGAAAGGTTTAAAACACAGGGGCGCGAAGACACTCATACAGACACACTCTCTCACACGTACGCCCAACTTTCTTTGCTTGGTATCTGAAAAGATGTTTAACCCTGTTACAGTGTTCTGCCAGCAGGTCTCAGGAAAGCTATTTAATGCCCCCCAGCGCCGGTTCTGTAGTCTTTCCGGGTACAAAGGTCGAGTGCCTTTGCCTTGCCTTTTTCTAATCCTGATAATTGTCTGGTCTTCCTTTCAACATACATCTTGGGCATTTGAAGTCCACAGTCAGCCACTCTCATGGCAGGGAGACGATTGTTGGTTCCAGTTAATATGAACCCTTTATGAAGGTTTTTCTCCCAAAGTAAAGATACTAGTGCACATTTCTGAATGAAAACATCTTATTTTTTCACACTTTTTCCAAATGACTACCAGAGGTCAAGATTGCAAGTATTTTGCATGGTTTTTTGAATACCCTGTTTAGTCTGCATGGAGCAGTTTTTACAGTAAGCTTTGATTAAACTACTCCAGGCACGAAAGTTAATTATTAACCTAACCTTAAATACTACAGTGGCAACACTGTGTCTCCACCTATTAACCTAAACCATCTGTTAAAAAATAACTGCACTAATTATTTGAATTTGGTTTACCCATGCTTGTTTATATGGTGACTTTTATTCGACTCTTGAGTAACCCCCCACTCTCTGTTATTATTTTGGGTTTAGGGCATTCTTAGATGAGGCACTTTGCAGACCAATCTGAAAGGAGAAATGAACGGCCAACAGATTTAAACCTCTTTTTTGTGTTATGTCTTTTTTCAACTTGATATAAAGAGGCATTCTAGTTCATGTTTCTTATTTACACTGTTTGGTGACAATCTTCCCAAAGCGTTCTGTTTTGCAGTTATCACCGTTTAGAGATGGGCCACACTCTCATAATGCATATAATCCACATATGTAAATGTTCAACGGACACCCAAAATCATGATCTCAGTAGCTACCTGCAGAATATGCTTATTGGATAAAACATCTAAGTTTAAATAGGTTAAAAATTCATAAGAACCACTGTAGAAACTCAAGTAAATATTGAATGAATAATTGAAAGAAATAGTCCCAAACAGTTCACATTTCTCCACTTAGAGTAGACCTAGGCTTTTTTTCCCCCTACAGTGAAAAAGAAAATCTATGCCTTCAAGTAAGTGGTTATTGTAAAGTGGCAATAAGTGCAACTCTCTATTTACACACAGAGAGACACACACACAAACACTCACCCCTAGAGTTCTTTCGAAGTCTAGTGAATGCTTTTCCCATCATTAAAAAAATATAGCATTTGCATTCTGAGGAGGTGGATAACATTGCCAAGTGTGTTGAATCAGAAGGATGGCAAGAATTAGGAAGACTGTTACATTCATTGAATAAAATTAAGAAACCCAAATTAAGAACTTGTATTAAATTCAAAATAAATCCTCATGCTTTAAAGGCAAATGGGCAGTTGCACTCCTTTATGAAATGGAAGGAAAAATACTGTTTTGGACAAGGAGGTAAGTCACATACTGCAGGGTGTGTACATAGTGCTTCAGCTCTTTTCTGAGCAGGACAAAAGAGTAATCACGGCAGAAAAAGTTTTTTTAGAACTAGATTTGCCAAGAGCTAATATATTCTCCCATCATATTTGTTTGCAGAAAGGAATCACAGAACAAGCCAAACTAATTGCAAATGCTTTAATTAGGCATCTGCCGTTTGCGACGGTAGAAAAGCCTGCACGTATCTCGGCACTGCCGCCCGCCCTGCACACACACTTTAAGTTTCGACAGTTCACTGCCCTCGCCCCACAGCGAGTGTTCCTTGGGTGTTCACATCTCCAGGGGAAGGGGAAACCTGGAAGCATCCTGCTGGGCCCTCCCGTATCAGTGCCCCCCAACTCTCTTGGGGTGCCCTGGAGCCAAGTTGTCTCTGAGAGGTTTCTATTCCAGAGTGAAGGCTTTTCTCCTCTGCCTTAAAATGTGCTGTAAGAGTAACTGAGCTATTCTCTGCTGGCAACCACACAATAGCCTCTTGGGGATATGGTAAGGTAGGGAAGGGAGGGAGGCATTTAATCCCTTTGAAATGGGCAAGTAAGATGTCATACCACACAAACCTCAAGGGGAGAAGTGAGTTCTGCATACTTCTCAGCATGGGACCATTACAATACAGTTTATACACAAGGGTATCTTGCTTTGTGAAGCAGATGAGTTCTTGCAAACCCTTTTATTAGAATAATTCTAATTACACTGATGGAGACCGGGCACACACAAGTATCAATACTTTGATGTTTCCCAAATAACCCCCTCAGCCCAGACCTCTCTCCTGGATCTGTGATATACACAATGCCTACAGGGGGTAGAATCTAATAGACATCTCAAACCCAAATGCTCCAAACACCTAGTTCTGGATCTTTCTCCTCCACACATGCTTTTCTCATCATCTTCTCCATCTTGGTAAATGGCAATTCCATCCTCTGAGTTTGCTCACGCCAAAAAACTCAGGAGTCATCCTTGACTCTTCTCTTTCTGGTATCTGCATCCATTCTAGCTGCCATGTTGTTAGCCCCACCTTCAGAAAGCATGCACACTCCCTGTAGGTCTTCCAGCTCAGTGGCCCTCACGTTGGCCAAGCCACCGTCTCCTCCTGCTGGGGAACCTACTGTGTTAGGCTCCCAGCTAGTCTCCGGGCTTTGCTCTTGGCCCCCTACAGTCTTTTCTCAACACAGCAGCTGAAGTGATATATATATATATATTTTTTTACAGATCAGGTTACATGTGCTCAAATGCTTTCCCATCTTATTCCAGTCAAAGCCAGAGTTCTTTCTATGGCCTTTGTGGTTCCACATGATCCGCACTCGGGTCCCCACCTCTCTGACCTCCACTCCTCCTTGGGATCACTTGACTATGCTGGGCGTGCTCCCCCCGGGCCCCTTTGCAGGGTCTCTCTGCACTTGCCCTTTCAAGGCTTGGGGCGGTCCTCTGCCCAGAGAGCTGCAGGATTTGCTCCTCTGCACCT